GTCAAAGCATGGGGCATGGCCTTAGATGGACGGAACCTGAGAACTCAGGATGTAGCAGGGCCACGAGGCAGCCGGTGCACAGAGTCGCAAAGGATGAAGCGCAAGGCAAGTGGGTGTCAGACACCGAGGGACCACATGGGGGGGGGGGGAGGGGTTACTGTCGGACACCAGAGGAACTGGGACCTTTGGAGACAACTGAATGGGGGTGTGGCAGGTCAAAGTCTGCATTTTGAAAAGACCACCCTGGCCTCATTTTGGAGCCTGTGCTCAAAGGACACGCTTTGGGCCAGTCAAGGACAAAGGGTGACTCTGAGTTTGAACCCCGGATGGACTCAGGGTGACATTCCTGGGATACTGCCGCAGGGAGGGCTGGCCTTCGTGAGGGCTGTTGTAGCATGGGCTGTATATGGACAAACAGCTTTGGCATGCCTTTCAGCTCCTTCCAGGGTATTTATGAGGTTGCAGAGAGAACAGTGTGCCCCGGACTTGTCTCGGTGTAGGGGACGAGGGAGGAAGGATGAGCTCTGCCTTAGCCTCATGTCTGGGAGAATAGTCTCCCATCCTCTGCCAGAAAGTAACTCATGCCATCTGGAAGAAAGTGGCCTGACCACAGGGCTGTGGGCCTTGTGAACACTGGATGGGCTTGCCCGGCTGCTAAACTCCCTGGACAAAGGGCTGGAGTCTACTTCAGTGGTAGTGAGCAGGCAAGGGGTGAGAGATGATCACAGTTCCCATTTTGGGACTCCAGGAGGGTAGTATAAACATCCCCACATTATGTATTATATATATACCATATATATATATATATATATATATATATATATATATATATATATATATATATTTGATTTTATGAGGCAGGCACTCACTCTGCAGCCCAGGCTGAGCTGGATGGAACTCACAGTGTACCTCAGTTTGGCCTCAAACTCATGGCAGTCCTCCTGCCTCAGTCACCCCGAGTGCTGGGATGACTGGCAAGAATCACCACACTCAGATAACATTTCTAAGAGGAGGTGGAGGAAGCTCAGAGGGGTCAGGAGGCTTACTCTGGTCACACAGCGATTCCCCACACCCCAGCATCTCCTAAGATACCGTCTTTGCTGCTGCTGGAGCCGGAGTAGCCGTGGTTCATGCAGGATGCAGGTGTAAGGATGGACAGAATTCCAGAGGTCTATGGTTAGGGAAGGAGGAGAGAAACTAACCACGGAAGGGGTGGAACAATCCATGCATCACGGAGCTCCTTGGTCCTGGGGCCGAGAAGCCAAACCCGGCAGATGGCTCATCATGGTCCCACATTGTACCTATGACAGGGTCTATACCAGAACAGACATGCCCCGCCCCCCCCACCTCCGGAAGAAAGGAAGCAGGTGCCATTAGCTTTTTCCCTCCCCAGACACTCAAATAGAAAACAAGTCAGCCTCTGGGCCCAGGGGTCTGGGAATTTTAGAGGATCCCAGCCATGACTAAGCCACCAACAATCCCTGATGAAAGACGGCAGAAATACTTCACCCAGCCTGCACCTCGGCTTGACCTCCCAGGGATCTCTAGGAACAGGGTTATTAGACCTTGGTTTCCGCATAGGCCTGAGTTTGGCTGTACCTCTCCCAGAGGATCAGCCCGGGGGTCTGTGCCCATCTCATGCCAAGACAAACACACCAGGTCTTTTATAAAGATTCAGATGGAACTAATTCCGTTTTCCTCCCTTATCGCTTTGCACACATGAAATCTATTTTTAATTACCTTTCAATATATAATCTAAAAAAAAAAATTCCACAGCTTGCTCCCACCCTCAAATTGTTCTTAGAGAAAGAAAGATTTATCTTGTAAGTTTCTTAAGAAAATCTATATGTGCTCAATGCATTTAAATAACACTCATTAAAGCAAACCGCAGGCATGCTGGCTTCTCTAGCCACAGATGAGAGACAATCGCTTGACCTACAGCAAATCAAAAGGCATTTTGCACACCACCTTTCTTTTTCAATTGGTTAAGTTTTAAATTAAAGTCCCAAAGCCCTTTTTTGGGAAAGGCGGACTAATAGAGCCTCGGCTGAAAATTTCGTTCAGTCGATCGGAAGATAATTACAAGAAACAAAATGTGAAATTTTAAATCAGGGCACTAATGAAGTCTAAAAATACCAGTGGCCTATCCCTCTGGCTGGCAAGACCTGTTCTTCATGGAGGGGGCTCTCTCTGCATAATTACTCTACCCCACGAGGGGCCAGGTTATCTCATCAAACAATAGTAAAGGCAGAAATCATAGGACTGTAATGAGCTAGATTGTGCATGGTGGATCTTATTATAATGCTGGGCAAGGTTTCAAACAGACACTAGGAGAAAAAGAAAATTTTTCTTTTTCTTCTTTCCCTTTTTTTTTTTAAAGTGGAGTTCTGATTTGTGTTGATAACATCATGTGGTGCCTCCTGTTCCCGCCTGGAGCCAGCTGTCTGTCATTTAGGAGTGTGAAATCAATTGAGTTTCAGGGATGTAAAAATCCCTACGGGCAAAATTAAAAGTGACCCAAATCCAAACCCACGTGGTGCTGTTGGGATTATGACTCTCCCATGGCAAGTTGCAAAGATTTGGTTTCAAAATTTGGGTTTCTTATTTTTTTTCCCCCCTAAATGTAGTTGTTTGACATTAGATCTGACAGATAAATTATAGCTTCAGCAAGAAAGGCTTTTAAGATTAGAAATGAAAGGAGAATTTACTTAAAAAAATAAAAACCCACCCAGGCTCAAGTGTTGAGCATTGTATGCATAGAGTCCCTTGTCTTCCTTCACAAATACAAGGCGGATCTACCAGCCAGCAAGGGCCATAAACAGACCCGTGAATTAACGTCATCTCTGGGCCAACAGCTGGTCTGGTGGACAACAATGGAAAGCCGGGTGATGGACAGGTCACCCACAATCACTGGCCAGAGCTGGGAGACCTCAAAGGCTCCCCAGAAGATGGAGCAGGAGATACTTTCTGGGTTTTGCTTCCTGCCTCTCACCCAGACCCAATATACCCTATGGGGCTTGGTATAGCGAGCGGCCTGGGGCCACATGGCCCTGTGTGGCTTGGGGCGGCAGAGGTTCAGGCTGCACTCATTGGCTTTCCACAGTTGTCCTGGGAGCAGCTCTTCATGGTTCATGACCTAGTGGGCTGAGCAGCCGGACCCCAGTAACCTGTGTCACCCCATCTCAAGGGTGAGGATGTTCAGGGGCAACCTGCTTCTTAGCAATGTTCAGAGAGAGAGATTCCAGCTCAGTGTCCAGCCCTAGACCTGGGAATTCTAGGGTCAGCTAAGCTGGTTCCCTTCTGTACAGAACAGTTTTTCTCTAGATACATGTCTGGAACTTGGAAAACCAGCAAGACCTTTCATCGGCCTTAGCAGGGCCTCTCCTCGTGGGGACACTAATGTTCTCTAATGTTCCTAGCTTTAGGATAGTCCTTGGACAGCTGGGACCCCACAGCCTCTTGTGTCAGAGTTGGTGACTCATGAAGTGTGTGTGTGTGTGTGTGTGTGTGTGTGTGTGTGTGTGTGTGTGCATGTGCGTGTGCTTTTGTTCTTTTGGGGCGGTCTCTTTTTTAAAGGGAGGGGTTGCTAAACTACAACAGTTCAAAGAAGAAATCAATTTAGTCTCCTTTTCTCTATATTAAAAAAAATAAATTTTAAACAAAGCAAGGGTTTACCAGATTTCAGATGTAATTTTCTATAATTTCTGTCGTTTAAAAACTAGTACTGATTTCCCAAACAAAGGCAGTCAGAGCTCACACAGGTTCGGAGTGAAACCCCACAGGGAGCTAGGCACTGGCTTTGTGGATGGGGTTGCTCAGAAAGGCTGGAGAACGACTCAGAAGGACAGTGACAACTGTCTGGAGAACAGCGGGCAGAGAGTGACTAACGGCAGGGTTACTAGGCTAAGAGGCAGGGGGATCCCTGAGCCGGACTTTCAGGGGATCTGAGGAAAAGCCATGGCTAGTTTGTGTCCACTATCTAGCACCACCTACTGGTCCCTTTGGAGGAGACATGGGTTACTCCAGCAGGCTCGAGTGCTAGGCAGCTAGGCAGAGACCCTCTGGCCTCCTCCTGTCCCTGGCTCTGCCTAGCCGGGTGGAGCCTTCAAAAGCATCCCTCTGCATTTTGCAGGGTCGGGGCCTGAGCTGTCCCTGCATCAAGGAAAGGCAAATCTAAGACAGGCAACCTCAAAGCCTCCCCTCCCAGCCCTGGCCCTGCTGTCCCCTCCCTGCTGTCCCGCTCAGTCAGACACTGGGACTAGAACCCACCACCTCTAATGTCCTGTGCCCTGATGCTGAGGCTGCAGCCCATGCTAAGAACCATGTTGTGGTGTGCCCCCTTCCCCAACCGCAGGAACTACCTCTGAGCTCTTGGTAAGGAAACTCCCCTCCCCCCCCCTCCCCGGGGCTGGGAGCTGGGGTCTGGGGTCCCCTGAAGGCCAACCTGGAGCTGTTCTTCCCAGGGACTCACAGAGACCCTTTCAGTCCTTCAAACCCAAAACCTTAAGTGGCTCAGGGTGGTGGGAGTGTGCCTGGGCTCTGGTCCGGCTCTTATCAGTGGCTTGGTGGAGGAGGCTTGTCCTGACCGGCACAGGCAGATGATGTTTTGAGTGTCTTTATGGATGCAGAGTGCTAAAGGCCGCCACTTTCTGGACTGTTCTGGTGACCCTTAGGAGGAGTGGGTAGCTCTTGCTCAATCTAGCCTTGGTCTAGCCTGGGGTGAGCATGTCCTGGGCGCTGGACTTTCAGGCTCCCTCTTCCTTCTTCCCATTTTTTTTCTTGCTCTGTGAATCCTGCTCTTGCTTGTCTCAATCTCCATACTGCCTCTCTGCCTGGATTAACGCCCCCCCCCTCCCCAATAAGGAGTTTCTGCCACAGCTTCTGGTTAGATGAAGTCAATGAGAGAGCTACCATAAACACACTTCTGTCTCCCCTGTGTTGGAGGGACCAGGCAGGGAGGTACAGACCAGGCACACAGTGGAGTGTGCGACAGGACTTACCTTTAGGGTGCCCTGGGTCGGTGAATTCATACTTCCCCACTCCAATGGTCCGGAGCATTTGTAGCCCATGGGCCGAGTCTGTGGTGGGGGGCCCATTGGTAGCAGGGACGTTACTGGGGAGAGCAGCGGACGGCTGGGCTGGCGGAGGTGGAGGCAGCAGAGACCCTGCCATGTGGCCGTTGCCCACCGCAGTGGGTCCCGGGCGGGCTACCTGCCCCACGCCAGGCAAAGTGGATACCGCCAGGGGCTGAGGGCTGGCATACAGGGCCTGGGCAGGCATGTTCACCACCACACTGCTCAGTGGTTGGGAGGGCGGCTGTGGGAGTGAGTAGTGGCCCGGCATCAGCGGGAGCTGGGGCCCCACGTGGGGAGGCAGTGAGGGAGTCACCCCGATGACCGGGGCCTGGACGTTCACAGCCGGGCTGAAGGTGGGAGGCTGGGTCACTCCATAGGAGTGTGCAATCAGGGAAGGCTGGTTCCCGGCGGCCACCGTGGTCACCCATGGCCCTGTGCCTGTAAGGGAGATGGAAGACATGTTATTCGGCCAGTTACATATTCGCTCAACAAACATCAACTGTCCCAGGCCTTGGGCTGAGACCTGGAGTAACAACAGTGGCTAAGACATTTGTGTCCAAGCACTCAGCAGTTTCAGAATGTGATAAAGCAGCTGGGCAGGTGGTGGCGCACGCCTTTAATCCCAGCACTCGGGAGGCAGAGGCAGGTGGATCTCTGTGAGTTCGAGGCTAGCCTGGGCTACAAAGCGAGTTCCAGGAAAGGCTCCAAAGCTACACAGAGAAACCCTGTCTCAAAAAACAAAAACAAAAACAAAACAAAAAAAGAATGTGATAAAGCAGGCGCACACACCTTTAATCCCAGCACTCTGGAGGGAGGCAGAGGCAGGCGGATCTCCATGAGTTTGAGGTTAGTCTGGTCTACATAGGGAGTTCCAGGCCAACCAAGGCTACACAGCAAGACTTTGTCTCAAAAAAAAAAAAAAAGTGTGTAGTGACAAATGACAAATGACTACTATGGGGGTCCAGAAAATAAAGAAAGATCTGTTTGGGAGAAATGAAACACAACAAAGCTGAGAAAAAAAATAATCAGAGGCCTTCAGAGAGACCTATGCTCACTTCAGCTCTCCTACCTAGGAGCCAAGAGCCCTGGCAAGTTGCTTTAATTCTCTGAGCCTCATGCTTTTTTAATCTGTTAATCTGGACTGAGAACGGAAGGCAGAACGTATCTTTGTGAGAAAACAAAGTAAAGCCAACGGTGTGGCAGACACGTGGCAGACGTTGCCTATGTGTGGTGGTGTATGTAGGTCTTTGCTGGAGAATCGCGGTGGGTGGGGGGAGGCAAAGAGAAGGCTGGCCGTGGACAGTGTTTGCAGGGGTCTCAGGTGATCCCAGTGGACCTTGAAGATGACAAGGTGCTTCCCAGGCACCTGGAAAGAGGTGGCTGGAGTCTGGGAAATCCTGGAAGATTTGAGGGGACTCCAGGTCTTGTCTCACACACCCTCCCTCCCTCCACACAGCTGGCGCTGTTGGAAACTGGAGGAACCCGAGGTAATTTTAGGAGAACAAGGAAGGCCAGCCACACCTCTTAGAATGTGATGAAACAGTGGTGCCCAAGTCAGGCAGAGTAAGGCCTGGGGCTACCTGGAGCTTAATGGACATTGAGGTGACCCAGACGGCTTGTGCGGCAGCTGGGAGATACGGATGACAGGGAATTCTAGTCTGGTCACCTCCGACTGAATGAGTCTTGGCTGGGGCCTCCATTATTCAGACTCAACCTTGGTTTTCATGATTCCTCTGGGGTTCGGGTGTAGACTGAGAAAGGGGAGACTGAGGCAGGAGACAGGGAGCTCTAGAGGCTAGAAGGGCTAGGAGTTCCCTTTCAGACCTAAGATGAGGAGGGAGGGCAGGAGCCCAGAGGGCACAGCTACACTCAAACCAGGAGGGGGCATCGAGTGAGGACGAGGTATCAGCTCTGATTCCTGGCTCTGGTTTCGGGATAGGTGACATGCATGCCTTTCCCGTGTTAATTTCCTCATCTGCAGCAGGCACAGGAGTACCAGCGCCTAGGACCGCTGCTGCAAGCCTTGAGATCACACACAGAACAAGGCACACAATAATGTGCAGGAAATATTTACCATTTGCGTGATGAGAGGGGGAGACTGCAAGCCAGAGACATTGGCAATGTGTTGCTGGCTAGACTCTAGAATAGGCTGCTGGGGGGGGGGGGGGGGCGGGCCCGGCACCATGTCCCAGCTAAACAGAGGAGGTAATATCAATGTGAGCCAGTATGGCTGGAGGTCTCAAGGCCAAGGGCTGTCACCCCAAACTCAGTGCTCCCCAGGACTAGCCAGGGAAGCTGGGGACACGCATCAAAATGTCGGAGCCTGACTGACAAGGCCACAGACAGCTCTGAGATGCTATGCCATGGGGAGGATTTTTTTTTTTTTTTTAATGAAATGACTGCCTGAAAGCGGCTGGAGACCTACAGAGAGGCCTCTAGTCACTTACAGCAAGCCCTGATCACTGTTTTTACTCCATGACTTGGAAGCTGCTAGGGCGGGCTACGAAGGGCACAATTCTAGGGGAACTGGAAACAGAACACAGAAAAAACAAAACATGCAAAAGAAAAAAAAAAAAACCCTTGGGGCAGGCAGGGCAGTGGCGGCACAAGCCTTTAATCCCAGCACTTGGGAGGCAGAGCCAGATGGATCTCTGTGAGTTCGAGGCCAGCCTGGTCTACAGAGTGAGATCCAGGACAGGCGCCAAAACTACACAGAGAAACCCTGTCTTGCAAAAACAAAAAACACTGGAGATCGCAGTGGCCCCATTCAGTGGAGAGATCTGTCCTTGTGTCTCCAGACCCAGATGCTTAAACCCAATTATGAAGAGGTGGCCTTGTGGCAAACTTGAGTGTGACGGCTGGGACAGGACATGCTGTCTGTGGGCTGAACAGCTGTGCTCTAGGGCTGTAATGACCAATGTGGGGTGCTGAAGGAAGAGCCCCGGTGAGGCACTGAGTGGGTTGTTAGCACTGGGTTGTGGTTTTGCACTTTAGAGGGATAGAGTAGCTGGAAAGTGAAGGGACCGGAACTCGTGAGCTTTAGGGTGGAGTGACTGATGGGTTTGCGGTGTTTATCTGGCATGGAGCTGGGGGGTATCTCTAGGTAGCTGTACCAAAGCGGGAATGGGGTGGGGTGGGGAGGTGGGGGAGATCCAGGAGCAGTGGGAGGTCCTTTGTTCTGGTCAGAGCTATCAGCAGGAGGACCTAGATGCTATGGAAGGAGGAAATCCTAGACCTGGGGTCCGAGCATGCTCATGTAAACCATGGGCAAGGCAAAAAAAAATCTCCCTGAATGTGCGACTTGAGAGACTTCGGGTCCCACACATCCCAAGCCTGATATCTGGGCTTCTGTAGACTCATGGATCAGGATCTTTGGAGAAGAACAGAGCACCCAGCAAGTAGGTGTCTCTGTCGGTTGATGGACACGCACCTGGATTTTCACTCTCCCTCATCTGTTTGGAGGGCGGCTCATCGGTGTCCCAGGGTGTGGACTGATTGATGGGCGTCTGGCCCCATCGAATGCTGGTCGTGAGTCCCTGGGACTGATTGTCGGCTTTGGAGATGCCTGGAGCCTGTGGGAAGTAGATGAGAATATGGTGAGCATAGACTGTCCCAGGACCCTGCCTGGAATCTGTTCCCTCTGCAGTATCCCTGAAACCTGAGCATGGGCAGAGAGAGAAAGAGAGAGCAAGCCTGCATCCAGACCCACTAATGCTGGGACCTCTGCCTCCTTCCCAGCAAGGATCATGGGATATCAGGACAGAGTACACCTGCAGGTTTGGCCTCTGATGAGCTCCTGGCCTCTCCGACTCCAAGCCAGTGCCTTACCAGGCATCTCTACTGCTGCTGCCTATCCCAGGGGAAGCACTGCAATTGATGGGAACATTCTCTGGTGTGTGGGACACCTCAGCCTTCAGACTGTCGGTAACCCACCGTAACCCAAATGCTCCCCACTTATCCAGGGTATGGGCTGAGCACTGACTGTACCCACTCAGTCTCAGTCCACCAGGTGCCCAGGGCTTTCACTTGTGGCTGCTGAGAATCCCTAACGAGATGGCAAAAGGTTTGCTCCGCAGAACACCGTCATCAGCCGGCAAATGAGCGCTACAGCACATTCTCCACTCTGCTCCTACACACGCTGTCGAGACCCAGTCAACTCATGGAGGAAGGGCGGGGGGTTATGGAAGCAGGTAGGACAGGTGAGTTCATGCCCCCAGGTAGGAAGAACCGATGGCCTCTCAGAGCAGTCAGGGGGCTTTGCTTGCCGTGTGAGCTCGCCTTCTGATTTAGCTGTTTGGATGGACAAGAAAAGGACTCTCAGAATGAAAGCACATGTCCGGTGACAGTAGCCCCCGAGGCTACAGTCCTGGTAGAACGCGGGCTCCTAGGAAGCATGCTTTCTCGAAATGTATAATGAGAAGGTAACGTGTTCCCGCTGTGATATTGATGAGAAAAGCAGGCCACAAGATTACACCCGTGGGACCTCCCGATGCAAACCGTCCTGCTGTTGAACAACATGTGTGAGACGGGAGTGACCCAAATGTCAGCACGATGTTATCCTTGGGTGAGAGGATTATGGGTCACTTCCTGTTGACCTTCGTTTGCGTTTATCAAAATAATATGGTTCAGGGGATGGAACTCAAGGTGTTGGACGTGTTTTGCAAATGTCCTACCACTGACCCACATCCCCAGATTTTTTTTTTTTAAAGGATTTGTACTCCAGGCTACCTTTGAACTCATGACCTTCCTAAGTGCTAGGATTTCAAAGTGCTAGGATTTCAGTTGTGTATCACCACACCTAAATACCAAGTTTTCTACAACGGCCATTACTTACAAATAATAAAAATAAATCCTAAACATATCGTAGATGCTGGGATAAGAAAACTGGGGTGCCAAGGGGCGAGGACCTCAGTGGAGGTGGCTTTGAGAAGAGCAGTCACAGCTCCTAGGAACCCAGCTTGGCCTAGGGAAGCATGTGAGCCGGGATGAGGGACAGAAGTTCTTCTCCAGGGACACTCACGGAAGAAGCACGTTCAGGTGAAAGCCACAATGTCTGTAGCATATTCTGATAGAGCCTGGCCCAAGGATGAAGCTGGAGGCAGAGCTCCCTGGGGGGCTCTGGGGCAGGGTGATTCTCCTGGGTCCTAGGCCAGGCACATAGCAGGGTGTGTGTGGGCAATAGGCTGGGCAGGGCTTTTGGAGTCTTTGCTGTATCACACTTTGGCACACAGAGCCCGCAGCAGGGCCTGCTGGGAGAGCAGCAGCCAGGCAGGCAGCATTGAGACCCGGGGCAATGCAGAGGTAATTGCATTAGGGTGCACTTTACTTCTGGCCTGTGCCTCAGATGCTCCACTTCCGGGAACAGGATACGGAAAGGAGGATGAAAAGAAAAAGAGGAAGAAGAACAAAGAAAAAGAACAATTCCTTGGACGAGTGTTCTGATCGGAGGTCCCACCCTTGCTTGTGGCATGGATGAGATTGAGGGGGGAAGGGAGATACAAAAGGAGGGGGGTCTGGGGCATAGCCATAATGGTAGCGAGGCATAGGCTTTCCTCCAGTTCTCTGAAGAGGCAACTTTCAATATGTGCCCCGTCTAGAGGCAGAAGCTACCTAGCCATCTGCAGCCCTTTATTCCCAGGCTCCAGGATCATGGTGGGGTTAGAGGCACAGAACTTGCTCCTGAAACCAGAGGCACCTGAGGGGGAAGGAGTCTGTGCTCTGCCCTGTTCAAGAGCCTTCTTTAGAGGACACAGTGTGTGAGCGCGGCTGGGACCCCTAGCCTCCTTGCCAGCAAGGCTCTTCGCTGGCACTGTGGAAACCTTTTCTGCCAGGAGGGGGCGCTGCAGCCCCTCTCTGCTGCCCATGTCCCAGAGGCTGCCCAGATAGGAAACAACAGCTTTGCTTAAGATCTGGAGAGTCTTCTCTCACGCTCTCACCATTTCTGCCCTGCTGGGTCCGCAGGTCCACACGGGCAACTTAAGCAGGGAGGGAAGCCTTCTGGAAACAAACCCTGAGCCCGCCACTTCTGCCAGAAGCTCTGATTGTTTTTTTTTTCTTTTCCCTTGAGTTTGGGTCATCGGGTTCTATGGTATAAAACTCTGGGAATTCTAATGTTTGCCCCGAAATTAGGGGGAGTTTCTGGACTTGAAAAATTGCATATTTTTCCCCCCGACACCTTGCTCAGGCTTATGCAGTGTGTCACTCCTTTATGCCTTGGTCTATTCTTTGGTGAATAACGACTGGGTTGGTGCTCTGTGTTATGTCCTGGCCAGGGCAATGGTGATGCGGGCCATTTGGACCCAGGTGATTCCCTTTGAAGGCTCGCGAAGCAGAGCATGCTGGTGCACAATGTCAACGCTGGTGTACCCCAAATAGAAGCTGGGTGCTCAATCTGGGTGTGCACAGGCTGATCCGGAGCCACAGGGAGATTCCCCGGCTGCCAGGCCTCCCTCCTGCTTGACTCGGTCTTTCTTGCATGATCAGTACAAACAGTTTCTTAGATTGAAGAAAACCTCTCTGAAGTCCACCCCGTCCCCCCATCCCCCCACACCCCCTTTAGGAATGATAAATAAAACCACTCACATTCTATTCTGCGCTAGCAACATCTTAAGCTGCAAGCAATTTGCAGCTCAGGAATTTTACTTTATTAAAGCAATCAAGTGAATATTCCTTTCTTGATTCTGTCAACAAACAACTTGGATGTTAGGAGTGGTGTGCCCTTTCCTGAGAGGTCCAGGGCTTCCAGGTGAGTCATAAATGGATTGACCACAAGCAACTTAAATGTAGGAGTGTGCCTTTTGTTGAGATGTCCAGGGCTTTCAGGTGCCATATATGGACTGACCAGTATAGTATGTGAGGCAGGAAACCTGACTAGGGGGGCCTTTCCTCCTGCTAAGGGCTCTAGGCCCCATATAATCACATGCAGATGGCAGATTCTGGAGGTGCCTGGGACCCTGTATGGGTCTGTGACTGTAGCTTTGAACTTCCCTCTCACGGTTTTGAATTCCTACACATCTGGAATCCCTAGGAGCAATCCAGGCTGTTTCCAGTTTGAGTAAGGGCTTGTCTTAGGGAAGGAGAGCAGGGGTGGGGTGGGGATGGGGGTAGAGAGTGGGCTGCCAGTACAAGAAAGACCAGCTTCCCAGCCAATAGGGCAGAAGTGGGCTCAATAGGGTCTCTCTCAATTCTCACTTCTTCCCACTGCCATTCTCTGGGACACCTGGGAAGGCACCCAGACTCAGTCAGACCTTCTGCTTCTCCCTGGCCCTGGTTTCTGCTCCAGGAACATGGAGGTACTCATCAGGAGAGACTCACCAGCATAGCCTTCCCCTACCAGCTCTGCATAGTGGCCCTATCTGCCCATCACTGGGCTTGAGCCGGGCGTCTCTCGGCTTCCCTTTAATGAGATGCTAATGGGATGCATCATTAACACAGCAGCTTTTTAAACCCCGGCTCTTGTAAATTTTCAAAGGTCACATTTTCACGGTGCCTGACAGCATCCTGCTCCTTTCAGAGACTGGAGAACACTAAAGACTCAGGTCCTTTATGGCTGAAGCTCTGTGAGGTGCGGGGCGCCAGCACAGGCTGAAGGTGCCTGCTGGCAATGGGCTGTCCACTGCCTCCCCCCGCGCCCCCGGCGCCCCCAGCAGCTTCACAGGGCATGAGGGTTACCCTCTTCCAGCCTGGGGAGACCAGGTACACAGTTTCACATGGTCCACAGTGTTGCTCTCAGAAGACAAAGATCCTTGGCAGAGGGGTCAAGGGAGATGCTACCCAGCTGGGGAGGCAGAGGCACTTGAACTCTCCTGGAGGACCTTCTGCTTAAGTCACGCAGTAGCCAGAGAGCCTGTGTTTGGCTGGTCAGTCCAATGAGAGAGAGAGAGAGAGAGAGAGAGAGAGAGAGAGAGAGAGAGAGAAAGGACATCTCCCTACTCTGCACAAAAACACCACAGACATTTGCAGCAGCCGAGTGGACAGGGAGATCTGAATGATGATAGGGACTTAGACCCCCCGGGGGCTGTCTCAGTTGTTGCTTGGTCTCATCTCAGCCTCTGTCCACTCACAGGGCTCAGCGCACTGCCCCGAAAGGTCCTGCTGACCCTGTCCTGGCAGGCAAATTCCAGGAAGACAGATGCTCAGTGCCATGCCTGGCCCAGCAGGTGCTATGCTTGGCATAACCATCCCCGGGATGAAAGCAGGGTTTGTTGACCCAGAGCATGGGCCAACAGGAACAGCGACATCACGACGCTGGTTCAAGGAATGAATGAACTGGCAGGGCATGCTTCAGGAAGAGTGGACCGCGCAGGTCATGGAGCCGAGCCATAGGATGGTCTGGTTCGCCTCTCTAGGGACCACCAGATGACTCCACAGCCGTGGAGACTACTGAAGGTTCCTCAGAGGCTTGACTAACATAATCCACTAACAAGGGCCAGAAACTACTGGTCCTCCCTGAGTGCCTGGGTGTGGTAGAGGTACAAGGATGCTGAGGCTGACTCGTGCTATGGCCATGGATGTCTCCTGGGAAACCCCCAATACTGCACCGTCCACTCTTTTTCCCAAGGGCATCAAAAGA